CATGGCATCACAGCTCATAGCAACCTCCAACTCCTGGGCTCAAGCGAGTCTCCTGCCTCCGCCTCCCAAGTAGCTGGGACCACAGGTGCCCGCCACAATGCCTGACCATTTTTTAGTTGCAGCCGTCATTGTTGTTTGGCAGGCCCAGGCTGGGGATTTGAACCTGCCACCTTAGGTGTATGTGGCTGGCGCCTTAGCTGCTTGAGCCACAGGCGCCGAGCCCCACTTATTGATGTTGGTGTAGTACCAAAGAACAATATTCACGATTAACCAGGATTAAAATATTCCTCCAGGATGAGCACAGTGGCTCATGCCTGTAATCCTAGTACTCTGGGAGGCTGAGATGGGAGGGTCACGTGAGGCCAGGAGTTTGAGACCAGCCTGAGCAAGAGTGAGACCACCTTCTTTACTAAAAATAGAAAAATCAGCTGGGCATTATGGCAGGTGCCTATAATCCTAGGTTAAAATAGCAGAATAACTTGAGGCCAGGAGGCGGAGGCTGCTGTGAGCTAGGCTGATGCCACTGTACTCTAGTGTGGGTGATAGATTAAGACTCTGTCTGAAAAAAACAAAAACCTATAAAAATTGAGAACAGTTTCAGGTGGTGCCTGTGGCTCAGTGAGTAGGGTGCCAGTCCCATATACTGAGGGTGGTAGGTTCAAACCCAGCTCCAGCCAAACTGCTACAAAAAATAGCTGGACGTTGTGGTGGGCACATATAGTCCCAGCTACTTGGGAGGCTGAGGCAAGAGAATAGCCTAAGCTCAAGAGCTGGAGGTGCTGTGACGCCATGGCACTGTACCAAGGGTGACAAAGTGAGACTCTTTAAAAAAACAAAAGTTTCATTTTATTGCCCAGGCTACAGTCCTATGACATCAGCTACCTCACTGACTGCAATCTTAAACTCCCAATTTCAAACAATCCTCCCGCATCTGGAACTATAGGCACCTTCCATGACGCCCAGCTAATTCTTTTCTCTCTTTCTTTTTTATTTATTGTTTGAGACAGAGTCCTACTCTCTTGCCTTAGGTAGAGTACCCTGACATCATAGCTCACAGAAACCTCAAACTCTTGGGCTTGAGAGACCCTTCTGCTTCAGCCTCCTGAGTAGCTGAGACTAAGTTACCTACCACAATGCTTGGCTATTTTTTTTTTTTTTTTGGCCAGGGCCAGGTTTGAATCCACCACCCCTGGTATATTGGGCCGGCGCCCTACTCCTTGAGCCACAGGTGCCACCCACACATGGCTATTTTAAGAGACAGGGTCTCCCTCTTATTCAGGCTGGTCTCAAACTCCTGAGCTCAAGTAATCTACCTGACTTGACTTCTCAGAGTACTAGGATTACAGGCATGAAACCACCAGGGCTAGCCTAATTTATTTAATTTTTAATAATGATCAGTATTGACAGATAAATCTGTAAAACAGAATTGGTTAAGGGCCTTCAATAATTGTATAAGGCCCTGAGGCACATTACAAATGTGCTTCTTACCTCATGGGCAGATACATCCGCCTACATGCCGTGAACCTTGGGATTTGGATGTTGCCCTGAGCTATGATCCTGCTACTGCACTCCAGCCTAGGTGACAGAGCAAGGCACATCTTTTTTTTTTTTGAGACAGAGTCTCACTTTTAAGAACCACTGCTTTAAGTGATAGACATCACTCTCCTTCCTCAAACGTGCTAGGTTCTCCTTTGGAGTCACACAAAGCTGAGTCCCAGACACCTTCTGCTTGGCCTTCTTCCCTCTGCTTACCTCATGGGCAGATATATCTGCCTCCAATAGCTGATGTTTTTTCAGTAAGTTGTTCACAGAAGCCAGGTCTTTGCCGTAATCTTCAGATGCCAGCAGGGCCTCCACCTGACATTGAAAACAAAGAAAGGAAAGGCTACTATATGGTGCGCACTTAATGTTCTAGAAAACCAAGGACACCCAGGGGTTACTGCAGGTCCTTGTTTGGACCATCACAAGGTATTACTGTTATTCCTACTCAGCTTCTATCAGCCTGCTTGGCACTGAGACACAGCCCTATCAGTCAATGCAGCCTCAACGGCCTACTCATTTACATAGTACAGCTAAGGGCAAAAGTCCCCAAGCCTTCCCTTTGGTTCAGTGGCAAAATGCACAGCAAGCCCACTTCAAGAAACCCCCTTGGGGAGCAGTGCCTGTGGCTCAAAGGAGTAGGGTGCCAGCCCCATATGCCAGAGGTGGTGGGTTCAAACCTGGCCCCGGCCAAAAACTGCAAAAAAACTCGAAAAAAAAAAAAAAAAAAAAAAAAAAAAAAAAAACCCTCCCCCCGGGGAGAATATCTGTAATGTATATAAAGATCAATGTAGAAAGATGTTAAATGCACAAAACTGATAATCTAAAAACCTGGGAACACCTAAATGTTGAACAATATGGACTCAGCGCCTGTGGCTCAAGCAGCTAAGGTGCCAGCCACATACACCTGAGCTGGCGGGTTTGAATCTAGCCTGGGCCCGCCAAACAACAATGAAACAATGAAGGCTGCAACCCAAAAATAGCCAGGGGTTGTGGCGGGCGCCTGTAGTCCCAGCTACCTGGGAGGCAGAGGCAGGAGACTTGCTAAAGCCCAGGAGTAGTTGGTGGTTGCTGTGAGCTGTGATGCCACAGCACTCTACCCAGGAGGATAGCTTGAGGCTGTCTCAAAAAAAAAAAAAAAGTCCGGCAATATGGGAATCACTGAATTAGTGGACAGCTCTCTGATGGACTTACACATCATTCAAATGTTTAGGAAAAATTACACTGTGAGCCCACCATACATAATGAAAACATATCTATACAAATGTTCACAGAACTGTGTATGAACTGGAAAGACACTCTAGAATGTCAAGAGTGAGGCCAGGTGCAATGGCTCACGACTGTAATCCCAGCACTCTGGGAGGTGGAGGTGGGTGGATCACCTGAGTTCACAAATTTGAGACCAGTCTGAGCCAGAGTGAGACCTCATCTCTAAAAATAGCCAGGCATTGTGGTGGGTGCCCTTAGTCCCAGCTACTCGGGAGGCTAATGCAAGAGAATCAGTTGAGCCCAGGAGTCTGAGGTTGCTGTGAGCTGCATTCTACCGAGGGTGACAAAATAAGACCCTGCCTCAAAAAAAAAAAAAAAAAAAAAAAGACTTGTCAAGAGTGATAGTTTCTACAACTTTTTATTTCTCTGTATTTTCTGTGTGGAGCACTCACTGCAAGCCTGCTCTCCTAACCCACTGCTATTTGGCCTCTGTCTTGGCACTGGCTCGTTAGTGCTGCCTGCCACACGCACCTCATCACCTCCTCCTACTTGCATTTGCTTTGCAGATGTATGATCTGCAGCCCTCGTCCCACCCCAAATCAGATTCCTCTAAACATTCATCCCTTTTGCCTATAAAGCCCTATAGCACACAACACATCTGATAATAAAGATGTCTGTCAAAATGCCTATCTGCTGACTGACTTATTACACCAAATGGCTAGAAACCACACTGGTGGGCAAAACTACTTAGCCTTACCTCAGAGAGCCAGAAGTCAAAGTCCTTGATCCCAGTATTGAAGTTCTGTTGCTTATTGGCTTCTTTCAGTTTCTGGCTCTTTTCAGCTGATTTTTGCACCAGGAACTGCCACTGGTCAGCTAAGGCAGCCAGGCGTGACTGGGGAAGAGAAAGGAGCCAAAATGATGGTGCAGCTACGAAGAATCCCCTCCCTTAAAGTCCAATGTAAAAACATCCGAGAAGAGCATAAAGAACGCTCATAGGAGACTTTCTCACTAGCATCCCCTGTTTGGGAGACAGCCAAAATTCTTCTAATTTACTTTTTCTGAAGGCTGTATGTCAAGTCATCAAGTTGATAGTAACATTCCAACATCCCTCCTGGGACATAGGGAGCCATACCTTGACAGCATCCTCACTGCCAGCACAGGCTCCACGCTCAATGAGAGAGTTGCCCATGTCAATGACCCCACGGATCCGGTCAGCATTGGCGTGCAGCTCTGCTTCGAAAGCCTGGTGCTTCTGATGCTTGCTCTAGAGACACCAAAACCCACCTTTCACAACCAGCTCCCATTGGGTTACACATGTGTATTCTCAGGAAGAAGTATTCTCAGAAGGGAGTAAACTCAAAGAACCGGGGCAAGTGTCAACTCTTTTATATAAAGCAATCATGGAATTTGTGTGAAATATTTTAGGGCTCACACGGTAAATTGGAATACTTAATAGGGGTCTGAACCACAGGGGAAAGGAAATGGACCAGTTCTGACCAGCCTGAGCAAGAGGGGTAACCCGTCTCTAAGAATAGCTGGGCACTGTAGCAGGTGCCTGTAGTCTGCACATATTAAGAAGGCTGAGGCAAGAGAATCGATTGAGTCTAAGAGTTTGAGGTTGCTGTGAGCTGTGCAACTCCATCACACTCTACTGAGAGTTATAAAGTGAGACTATGTCTCAAAAAAAAAAAGAGAAAAAAAGAAAGAAATGGGGGGCACCCGTAGCTCAGTGGGTAGGGCACTGGCCACATACACCACACACTGAGGTGTTGTGGTAGGAGCCTATAGTCCCAGCTGTTTGGGAGGCTAAGGCAAGAGAATTGCTGAAGTCCAAGAGTTGGAGGTTTCTGTGAGCTAGGACGCCATAGCACTCCACCTAG